AGGGCTTCTTGAAAACTGCCCCATAAATAGAAGGTGAACCGAGAGTCTCTGTTTAAAACAATGGAAGAGGGAACACCGTGGAGTTGAACAATCTCCTCAACGTATAGACGAGCTAACTTCCTGGTGGAGTCTATTATTCTAATAGGTAAGAAATGGGCGATCTTGGTCAACCTGTCTACAATGACCCATATTGTGTTGCGACCAAAACTAGTTCTGGGAAAACAAGTGATGAAATCTATGGTCACATGCTCCGACTTCCATTCTATAGGGAGGACTTGTAATAAATTGTCGGGTCTCTAATGTTCGGCCTTAACTTGCTGACAAGTAAGGTATTGAGAGACATAGTCAATAATATCTTTCTTCATTCCTGGCCACTAATATTAATGCCTCAAGTTTCGGTACATCTTGGTATTTCTGGAGTGAATGGACAACTTGGAGGCATGAGCTGCCTTGAGAACATCTATTTTGACTTCAAGAAGAACCCAAATACGATTTCAAAATCAGCACAAGCCATCATCAATGAGCCTAAAATTAGAAAATTCATCAGAAGTAAACTTACTAAGATTTTGAGTTATCTCGAGGTCGATGGATTGAGCTTCCCAAATCTTCATAAAAAGATTAGGCAATGCTCAAATTTGGGCAAGGTAGGAGCCATTGCCATAGTGATTCAAGTGGAGTGCCAGCATTACATCAACTAGTTTCTAATTAGAGGCCATCATCAAGGCTAACATGGCAGGTTCTTTCATATTCAAGGCATTAGCAACCATTTTACCTTTACTGGGGTGGTAGAAGATCTTACAGTCATAGTCTTTTAGGAGGTTCATCCAACGCCTTTGCCTTATATTTAGTTCTCTCTAAGAAAACAAATATTTGAAACTTTTATAGTTAGTATAAATTTAAAATGTCTAGCCATACAGGGCCATATCTTTAGGGTAAAGACGACGACAGCCAACTCCAAGTCATGCATGGGATAATCATGCTCATGAGCTTTTAGCTGTCTGGATCCATATGCGACTATCCGACTGTGTTGCATCAAAACACATCATAAACTTATGTGAGATGCATCACAAAAAACCTGAAATTGTTTAGTACCATCAGGGAGGATCAATACTAGAGTAGAGGTGAGGCAATACTTCATTTTAACAAAACTGTTTTCACATTCTTCATCATAAATAAAAGCTACACCCTTCCTAGTGAGATGTGTCAAAGGAGCTGCAATCTTGGAGAACCCATCAGTGAATCATCGGTAGAAGCTGGCGAAACCTGAGAAACTGCGCACCTCAACAACATTGATTTGTTGACTCCAATTAATTACAACTTCAACTTTAGAAGGATCAACATAGTCTCCTTCGTCAGAAATTACGAGGAAAGAGACTCAATCTAACCAAAATGAACACTTACTAAATTTTGTATACAAGTGATTCTAACAGAGGGTCTCCAATACACGGGACAAACGGTTTGCATGTTTTTTATAGTTCTTCGAGTACATCAAGATGTTGCGCACACAGACTGTGCGCCCCACACGGATAGGACGTGCACATAGGTGCCCGTCTGACTGGCTACGCGCCCATGAGTGGGCACGACTCACGGTGCCCATGTAGATAGAGAAAAAATTTCCCACAACCTTTCCGCAAGATTTCTCCACCATTTTCCTTCTCCATTTTTCCTGAAAATTAAAAATTATCGAAAAATAAATAATAATAAGTACATAAAATAATTTTAATTTAAAATTTAATTTTATACGAGAATTAAAAGTATACATTTAAATAGTTAATGGCTTTAGGGCCTGAATAAATAGAAATTTTACACAATAATTAAACACAAAATTTTTGGGGTGTTACAATGAACATCTAAGGCCTCTTCATGGCTATTTAAAGAGGCCTTTCTCTCTATTTTTTCTTCATTTTTCATTTCCCTCTTCCAGTCTTCCATTGTAAGAAATTTTAGAGAGAGAAAGAGAAGTCTAGAGAGAGAAAAAGAAAGCAAGAAAGAAGATAAATGAGTAAGAATTCTCTAAGACCGCTAAAAATCTTTTCTTCTCCTTTCAAAAGACAAATCAAATTGGTTATGGTAAGGGATTCTTTTGGTATTTTCTCTCACATTTCTTAGTGAGTTCTTTTAAAAAGATAAATTAAAATATTGAATGATTTTGATGCATGAATCTTTATTGTGATTTATTGTTGTTTATTTGAATATGAAATAAGGAATTATTGACCATGATGTTTTGATGCCTGAATCTCCACTATGATTGATTACCGTTCATTTGAATATGAAATACGGAATTGTTGAACATGATGCATAAAAACATGATGATTGGAAATGCATGCTAGTTTGGCCCTTTGCCTTACCTTGGTAATGGTGAAAAAGGTTATTTTAGCTGGCCTTGGCTCATGAGGATGATCTAAATGTTAAGTCTGAGTAAAATGAGCCTTGGGCCAGATATGTATTTAGATCCGCACTAGGTTCTGAACATATGACTAATACAAATGAACATCAAATATGAAAGAGAATGAAAATTCGTTTAACCATTATCTCTGAGGAGTTTCTGTCTCTCCCTACTCTGAATATGAAAGTTAGTGAATTGCTCACTGTGAATGATTGGCGTTCCCTTTAACGAGAGTAAATTCACGATATGATATGTAGGGCCACAGTGGTGACGTACGACCGTGGTCAAAGATTATACTCAATATAAAAATGGAACTGATGGGTCATTTATAATGGTAGTTAGGGATCCCCTCTGCCCTTAGTGGATATATGTTGGAACAGTTTTGTACAGAGGTCGGTAAAAGACTTACATAAAACACAAACATGAATAGGATAGTTGTTGATACTCTATGGTGATTTTGTATGATGATTCTTCTATTTTATAATGATTTTATTATGTTTTAATTGGTTTAACTAGTTTTTATTTGCCATGCTTGAGTTATGGTTGACTATATTTTCTCTACCTTTATTATTTGAAATGTTGATGATGTCCATATAGTTTTCTTAAAGAAAAATAAATGTCTTTATTAAATGTTTGAATTGAGCTCATCCTGTACTAGACTTCTGAGATAAGTTATTTAATTGAGAAATGACGCTTTATTTTAAAAGTTAATTACCTTTTTAAACCTTAGTTGTGTAGTTTAAATATTATTTCTTTTACTGAGTTATGTAAAACTCACCCCAATCCATGCCTCCTCCAGATGATAAAAGTGATGATTCGTTTGCTGAGTTGCCCCTTGAATATCTGGATCCCTTCTTGGATCCTTAGGATATTTACGAGTGCAATATTTTGTCCGCACTCTGATGACGCCTTTTTGTAATTATTGAAATGACTTTTTACTTTTGTATATTCATATTTTGGTAGCCAACATTTGACCTTAGGTATATATCGAACCTTTGATTTTGTTGTAAGATATTTCTATTTTTCGCTGCATATATATTCTATACTTATACTCATATATGTTTCTGTTATTAGACTTTTTACCTCGCTAGGTATTTGTGATGTTACATTATCCGTAACCTATACCTATTCACAATGTAGCATTGTAATTTGATTTCTAAAAATTATATGATATTTGTGATTTGATATATATATATATATATATAAAGTTATAATGTCTCTGATGTGGTACTATATTGCATGTTAATATAGTTATATGATGTCATAATTTCTACTTACCAACATTATGAATCTCACCCTCCTATCATTCTTTTAAATACATAGGGTATCGTTGAAGAGTAGCAGGTGATATAAGGACTTTTTTGTAAACTAGGCTCTTGAATTTTGGATTTGTTCATATACTTTTGTATTGTAATATAAAAATTTTGGAACCTCGTACCTTATGTAACTATGATACATATTCAATGGATGTATAAATGTTGTGTTCTTTCTGAATAAATAATATTATGTTATTTTATTTTATAAGTATGTATTTTAGTTATGCTGTATAAAAGGGAGTGGTGATATAACAATAACATGTTTGAGATATGAAATTTTGTTTTGTGAGTGTTGTAAAATTTTATGTTATCTAAATCAATAAAATATTGAGTATTTGCTTGATTATTAAATTTATTTTGACAATTATAATAATTTAAATTGTCAACATATTTTTATACCTTTAAAAGATATAAAATTAAAGAATTTTGTTACAATGAAGAGTTGGATTTCTGAACTTTGAATCATTTTTATAATTTTTAAAATTACTAAAAATTTTATGTCACTTACAAAGCTATTAGATTTAATTAGTGTGAGAGATCAAATTTTATAAATTTGAATGTTTTTATTATTTTAAAAATAAAAAAAAATATTATGCAAAGCTACGAAATTCAACTAAAATAGTGAATTAGTTTTTCAAAGCGGTTATCATTTTCTATAATATTTGTAATTAAAAGACTAATATAGGGTTATAAATACAACTCCACTTGGGGGCAGAATTCTTTAAAGTAGGATTATTTTCCGTTATTTTTATTATATTTCAAACAATAAATAAATTTTTTTCCCTCTGAAAGTTAGATAATTGAAAAACTAAACATTATTTTTTTAGTCCATTAATCAAACTAATTACAAAATGTACATACATTAAAAAGAAAAACATAATATTACATTTATTTTGGTAGAGCAAACGATAGATATAATACTCACGGAAACATATCTAATTAATTTGTGTTTCTTTTTTTTTCTTGCACAAATAGTTGTTAAACAATTCATAATTATTTCTAAGAACCATAATAACTCCTTTTCATATTTTTATAAAGGCTTATATATTTATTTTTACTTGCTTAGTCCAATTTGCTTTTTTTCTTTTAAAAATGTTCAAAATAATTAAATAAATAATCGGGATTATATTCCTTTGAAAACAAGAACGTAGTTAATATTTATTAAAAAAAAAAAAATTTACATGCAAAAAATAAATTTAGTTTATTTATTTTAATAAATTAAATAGACTTTACTAACTTTTTTACTAATAAGTTAAAGAGAATTTTTTGCAGCATATTCTAAAATTTAGTTCCCCTTTTTCATTTATTTATTTATTTATTTTTTGGTAGTGGAGGAATAAGCTCCGTAGCTCTAGTTTTTCTCGACCTGCATTGTTATTTGCTACTATCGCGCGACGATTATTATCGCTGATTTCCGATTCTTGTGGAAATGGACAAGTAACAGAAACCCTAACATTCAGTAAGTGTTCAAAGTTTAGTTTCTTTGATTATGCCGGCGAAATTTCTTAGGTTACTTGACTTGGATTCTTTCTCCTTCCTTTCGTTTCGTTTCGATTCTTTGGTTACTAATGGATTCTCCTAGCCGGACTACGAATGGATTGGGCTTTTGTACATAAAACATGGGACAAGTGGGTTTCTACCTCTGTCGGCTCTTCCGGTGAGGAGATAATGTTGGTTTTGATTAGCTGTTGCACAAGTTTTTTGTAGTTCATTTCTTGCATTAAGGGGGTGACAAAATCTTTATGGTTGCAATTTGTAGGTCAGCCGTTGAAGGCTGCTTTGCTGATTAACTACGACCCGACTGGACCTTCTCGCCTCTTGTCTACAATGTAAGAGATATTTCAATTACAGAATTTTCATATTTTGTGCTTTTTTTTTTTGAAATAAAAGATGAAAGTATTATTATTTACAAAGATAATAAGGGAATACCACCCAATTATATAGAAGTTACATATCAATTAAGTGGTCAATGATACATCCCAAATCTTCCCAGTATAATATTTCATGACCAAGTAAAATGGAATTAAAAGTGATTAACCATCTATCCTTGATATTTACAAAATCCATTTCGATACCTTAAAAAATTTTAGCATTTATTTCTTTCCACACAACTCAAATAATGGTAGGTGGAATAAAAAATAAATGTTTTTGCTTTTTACAAAAACCTGCTCATGCTCACAATTCTTTACTAACAGTACTACCCATTACCCAACTTACCTCTATCATCCCGAAGACCGACATTCATAAGCTGTGTGTAACCGGGCAAAATAATAAAATGTGGTCACATATTTCCTTATCAGCCTTGCATAAGTGACATCGGTTAACAAGAATGTTGCCCCACCTCTTTAACATATCAATGGTTAAAATACTTCCTCTTGAGACTTCCCAAGCAAAGAAAGTCATCCTAGGGGGGACTGTAATTTTCCAGATTTTTCTAAATGGGACTGTTACATTATTACCATTGTCCCCTTTGACTATAAAAGTATGGTAGGATTTCACCAAAAACCCATTCTTCTCATACAA